ATAATTTGTGAATTTGACAATATTTGCTTTAAAACACTATCAGTAGGTCGTTAAGAACGATAACCCCCCCCCCCTCTTTCCCCCTCCTACCCTACACCCCCTACACCCCCCCCCCCCCCCCCGTGAAAGAAGCCTCCTGTTAGTTACCTCCACTAAGTTTAAAATCGCTTCAAACTAAATTATATGCCCCTAATAGCCGTCACTAAACCCGGCTCTACGATTGTAAACATTTAGCGTGAACCACAGCTCACCAGACCATGTAGGGTTGGGGTGGTAGGGAGCGCGCTTACAGCTTGTTTTCTAGCGTCTCCAAGAAGAGAATTATATATATAAAAGATAGATGTATAAGTTAGATTCCACAATAGCTTTCAAGTAAAAATATATTAATAGAACAGTAGACTAGAGCTAGTTATAGAAATGTCTTCAGTTGTCCTATCATAGACAGCCAGCTGTAGAGAGAAATGAGCTGGGGTATGGAAGTCTTCAAGGTCCACAGACTTTGTTGTCCTGTCATAGACAGACAAGCTGTAGAGAGAAATGAGACGGGTATGGAAGTCTTCAAGGTCCATAGACCTTGCATCGATAAGACGTTTCAAATCTGGACTGCCTTTATTCGAGTGTCTAAACACATTGCTATCTCTTGACGCATGTCCAGGTTTAGATTTATCTGCCTTCACGCTCGGCACAAATCTAGAGGAGTTTTTGACAACTTGAAATGGAAGGGGATGTGCATTCATCTACAAAACCGTTTTAACTTAAATAGCTATTAAAGAGCTGTCTATGAGCTATGAAAAACGATTTATCTTTATATATATATTATATATATATATATATATATATATATATATATATATATATATATATATATATATATATATATATATATATATATAGTTTGCGTTTGTCGTTGGGTTTGTGTTTTGCGTTTGCATTTGTTTTCGTTTTTTTTTTGTATTTGTGTTTTCCTTGTGCTTGTGTTTGCGTTTGTTGTTCGGTTTGTGTTTGCGTTTTTGTTCGTGTTTTAGTTTGTGTTTGTATTTGCGTTTTTTTTGTGATTGGTTTTGGTTGGTGGTGGTTAGGGTTAATTCAATAAGTAATATATTTCCTTAAGATTATCCTAAATCTACTCTTTATGACTGACATGATCCTAAATATACTCTGTATAACTTACGTAATCCTAAATCTACTCTATATAACTGAGAATATGGTTACAAGTACCACATTCTATTAGCTAACGTTAAATAAAACCAGCCCCACACCTCTATAAATGAGCCACTGATATGCTAGAAAATAACAATATAAAACGAGATACTTTTAATCTTCGCTATAATTTTTTTAAAAGTGTGAAATGAAAATCACACTAGGCGATTAATAAAATGTGATTTAAAAAGAAAACATCGGTAGATGAGAAGAAATAATGCCTCGGTTTTTTAACTGTATTAAATTATTTTTAATTAAACAATTACAATCTCGGAAATCGGATGTAGATCAAAATAATTATTATAAAAATTTCCGTAAAATAATGTATTTATATGAATTGAGTTAAAATAAGGTGAAGTTAATTGAGTTAAATAACAGAGATATTAGAAATAAAGAATCTCAAATTCGATATTTATTCAAAATTATTTTTAAAACATTTTATTAAATTATGTTGATGTCAACTGAAGTAATGTTAAAACGTATTGAAACTTCTTCACAAATAAGAAAAAAAAAAGACTTTTTTCTGTAAGTCAAAAGGTATGTGGGGAGCATACAATGACGTCAGTGTCACGTGCTAGGGAGAGCTTGATCTAGGTCACCGTCCCAGTCGGGTAGCCTGTCTCAAGAATCTGGATCTAAGACCAGGAAGGTGCCAGGTCAAATAACGGTTAAATTCGTGCATGACACGTGTTGTGGTATGCCTCGGGTGCTACAAATATATCCAGGTTACTTTAAAATATGTTCATCATAGTTGGTTGGGGTCGTTTGAAAACTTTCGGATGGGGGGGGGGGGGGGGGGGGTGGAGTGATACGGGAGGAGAGGGGCAGTCACAATTTTTTTTCTTTTTTTTTTTCTATTTCGTTCAGCCTGGTGATGTGATGGACAAAAAAGAGATGCCTTAAAGAATCTAAGTGTAACATCTAGGGCTCACAATCCCTGTCTAGAGATAAAGATCAGTAAATTAAATCAAGGGTATTAGCACACCACACTGGACCACTGTTCAGGTATTGGTAACTGGGCGACACTCTCCCCCCATCGACTGTAACATTCCTCGATCGGTAACTGGGTGATACCCCCCCCCCCCCCCACACACACTTACTTTGACATTCCTCTACTGGTAACTGTGACACCCTCCCCCACACAGATTGTAACATTCCTTTACTGTTAACAATGTATCACCCTCACCCATTCATACTGTAACATTCCTCTGTAATATTTTCCTATCTCCAACACTATAACAGTGATCCATACCACACATTAATATCCCCCCCCCCTCACACATACACACAACAACAGTTAACAATCCCACACTGATATATCTCCTAAGTCCCAAACATTTCTCCAACTGTTCTAGCACTTCGCCCAAAACCCCACAAACTAAAACTCTGTAGGTAAAAAAAAATTATCCCTGTAGTTAACAGTTTGAATATTGCCAAATGCCTTTCTACTTAATGTCGCCGTTACGTATTCAAACAGACCATTACCAAAGAGACCGCGTTATTCCTGCCATAACTTCTCACACGCCCCACTCGCATGAAGTCTGCGTGAAATGGGGCTTATTGCTTCCACATGGGTGAGGGGTGGTACCGAGTGCGGTCAGGACGAACGTGAGTACATCATGTTCCGGTCTGTCTGCTCGCACACGTAAACACTTCAAGCAGTCAAGCACGTGTACGTACACAAAGGGAAAAATAAAAATTGTGTTGTAGACACTCAGGATCGATGTATTATTTGATACAGTAACTGTGTTTCGCATGACGTCTTTCTATTGCTTTCTTACACAATATTTAAGTGTTTCTCTATATGTTGGTATTTAAATGTAGATTAATATATATATATATATATATATATATATATATATATATATATATATATATATATATATGACAGATGTGTGGGTGTCAGTTTTAGTATCGTCCAGGTAGAATCTATGTAACCCCCTCAAGTGCAGTCAGATGTGTCTATTGTATTGGTATCACGTTTAAATAAAACCGCTTAATCGGATTATAGGATTATTGAATCGTATCCCAGCTACTTGAGAGAGGGAGCCAAAGGGTTTTAGCTTACATATGCTTATAGTTGTGGTTGGTGGGGGGATGGTGGGGAGGATGGTGGGGGGATTGTGTGGGGATGGTGGGATGATGTAGGGAGGGTAGGTGGGAGTGGATGGGTGGGTGGTTGGGTGGTGTTACATGGAGTAAGTTAATGACGAAATAGAAAAAAAGTCACTTCCTATTGTACTGCTACACCAAATGTTATTGTAATTGATTATATATATATATATATATATATATATATATATATATATATATATATATATATATATATATATATATATATATATATATATATATATATATATATATATATATATATATATATATACATACTGTGTCTGAAGTATTATAATTGCCATATCTTATGTAAAACACACACTTCATTAGACAGAAAGAATTTGTCTAGACTAAAACTGCCAGGAGTAATGAACAAATTAGTCTAGTCTCCTACAGTCATCTATACTCGTCTGTTAGAAGTTTTGTTACTGTTGTGTTTGCTGTGAGCTTGATTACCTTCGTTGTGTAATCAGACACTGTACTAATGATTTGTCTACTAAATCAATTTAAGTTCCACATAAAATGTTGCGGCTCAATGTTTTTGTCTGTGGCCCAATGTTTTTGTATGTGGCCCAATGTTTTTGTATGTGGCCCAATGTTTTTGTATGTGGCCCAATGTTTTTGTAATGTGGCCCAATGTTGTAGTCTGTGGCCCAATGTTTTTATCTGTGGCCCAATGTTTTGTCTGTGGCCCAATGTTGTAGTATGTGGCCCAATATTGTAGTCTGTGGCCCAATGTTTTTGTATGTGGCCCAATGTTGTAATCTGTGGCCCAATGTTTTTGTATGTGGCCAAATGTTTTTGTATGTGGCCCAATGTTTTAGTATGTGGCCCAATGTTTTTGTATGTTGTTTTTGTATGTGGCCCAATGTTTTTGTATGTGGCCCAATGTTTTTGCTTGTGGCCCAATGTTTTTGTCTGTGGCCAGATGTTTTTGTTTGTGGCCCAATGTTTTTGTATGTGGCCCAATGTTTTTCTATGTGGCCCAATGTTTTTCTATGCGGCCCAATGTTTTTCTATGCGGCCCAATGTTTTTCTGTGCGGCCCAATGTTTTTCTATGTGGCCCAATGGTTTTCTATGCCGCCCAATGTTTTTCTATGTGGCCCAATGTTTTTCTATGTGGCCCAATGTTTTTCTATGTGGCCCAATGTTTTTGTCTGTGGCCGATTGTTTTTCTATGTGGCCCAATGATGTAGTCTGTGGCTTAGTACGTTTGAAGTTGACTCCACCAGATTTTAGGATAAACATTTATCAAAATGCATTACAGTCACAACATGTGAGGAGTTTCTTTTCGTGTGGTGGGTGGGCATGAATCGGTGAATATGGGATTAACATAATACTTTGCGTAGATCAACGCAGGTGCCTTTGCTTAGACTGAATATCTTTTTTGAAGTTTAACCCGCAAGAAAAAAACAGCGTGTACACATATGTAAGAAAAAGCCTGTACAAATATGTAAGAAAAAACCTTTACAAATATGTAAGAAACAAACGCGTACAAATATGTAAGAAAAAACCTGTACAAATATGTTAGAAACAAACATGACGCTGTGATGACTCAAAGCACTTCAAAAATAAAACAGAATAACAATCCCATTTGTGTAAGTCTTGCTGTTGCCTCTATTATTTGACTCTAGAAGTCTGTTGACAATGCACATGACGTGCTGAAGTAAGTAAAACAGTACTCACCTGCTAAAGCCAGGATGAAGATAACAGAAGTCGACGTGGACCGCCGGCGGAAGAAGATGTAAAAAGCCAGGGCATTCCCGATTACCCCGACCACGCTAAAAATAGACAGCATGACGTAGAGGGGGATCTGTGGAGAGAAGAGGTCACTCGGTTACAAAAGTCACTCGGTAACATGCCTGCTGATGTGGAGTGAATTCAAGTTTGAACATTAAATTACATCAAATATCTGGGGAAAAAAGGGTAGGGGCGATGACAAATTACGACTGAAAAATGGAGTAGTGACAACATATGACAGTGACAAAAGGTGTGGGCAATCAGTGACAGTAGATAACTGACATTGTACCAGTGACAACTTTTTATTTTATTTTAACACTATGATTGACAACTCAACAATGTCAACCGATCATTCACAATATGACAGTGACAGTAAACGAAGGACTGTCAGTAAACATTAGCTATGTGATACAATGTCAGTCGACTGTAGTCACTGTCATATTGTCAGTGATCGGCTTGGTAAAGACCAAATAGTACTGACAATGTAAACTACGACAACATAAAGACAATTGATAGACGGCGTCGTCCAGGGTTTCTTTCATTTATTTTTCTCTGGTAAGGGGGAACATTTGCTGAAGTATCTTTTTAAACAAGTTATTTAATTTTACTATTTTGTCCGGTTAGAAGACCCGCCCCCCCCCCTCCGCCCCCCCCCCCATCCCTCCCCTAGAGATGTGTGAAAGAAACTCTGACGTCTAGGTCTAATAGGATATATGAGCAACATTTCCAAATCAGAAAACATGACGCCAATTCGGTTCCATAATTGTATTATTAGCACTCAACCTTATTTTACTTTCGTCATCAATAATTTAGCAGCAACACGTTACTTTATTTTTTTTAAACATTTACTACACATTTTTTAAGAATAAAAAATACACCAAAAAAATTGAAATCTTTCAGACTACATTTTTTCATCATATTATGCCAATAAAATTTTGTCTATAGGTTCATTTTTTCTGACACCTAAGCACGATGAAAATGAAATTCCCAAAATAAATGCCAAAAAGATTTCGTGTTTCTGTGTGTAATGTGGTTACCCAAAAGCCTGAAGTTGACTCGGCGAGTCAGTTCGATGGACCCTTTGATCACCGAGTCTTTCATTTTATTTTTAGTGAACGAGACTGGAAATTCCCGAAGCTGACCTTGTCCAAATAGATGAAATTACTGCCTGTTTGTCTACAGCGGTCATTTCACACCCACGCAGGGAGCTAACTACAAATTTAGTGGGAGGGGGGTGGGGATTAGGTGGATGTGACCCCCGGGGATGTTGATTCAGTAAAATAAAATGGCGTTACTTTATTTATGATAGATTTTGTTTAGTAAATGCGTGGTTTATTCAATGTGCATGATGGAATTGTACCAACTGTCACGCTTTATTCAGCTAGACACAGCAGACTAGCAGCTAAGATAAGCGCACGACATTTTGTCGAGACCACAAAATGACTGGCTAAATCACTCTCTGGCTAAATAAACATAAACGGTTATATCATCTATTGACCCGGTGTTTATTTTAAATCTAACTGGTCGGCTAAAATGCCGACTAAACTGGGTGGCTAAATGACTAACATGCCGGTTTAATGAGTATTTTACTAAGCAGTGGACGAACTAACTAGCCGGTTAAATATTCGACTATTTGGTTGACTAAGTTAGACAAATAGACTAGTAGGCACACATTATAACTGATATTCGGATCCGGGTTCAAGTCAGGAGAATGTCCATGTGTTCACCTAGCTCTGACGTGTGCCTAAGGCGACTGGACATAGTGCTGACCCTTTACAGGCTGACGTCAGAGAAACAGGTGAACTCTACTTCACTTGCCTCATGAACCGTCAGGTTCGAAAGGGAATCTTCACACAACTCAAAGCAATCTCCTAACAGGTGAGAAATCTGCAAGTGATGATTGTATGATCGCTGGAGTGGAACCCGTAGGGAAGTCTAATGGAGAGGGCGCCCGAGACAGACCGGGAGGCTGAGTCTTCAAGAACTGAAGACAGCAGGGATGTCTTGGGAGGCTGTAAAATCAACAGCCGGAGTCAGGGCAATAGGGAAGGTTGTGGTTGAGGTCCTATTCCCACATGAGTAGAGATGAAGTTAAGTTATTCAAGTTAGTGTTGGATCATTTAAGTCCTATATTATCGTCCATTTTTTTGCTAATCCTCAAACAATGAGAACAGTCCTTCAAGTAATAATCGGTGCATCATTTTTGTGCATCATTCAATATTCATTGCAGAAAACAGCATTTTTATTGCTAGTGATCCCGCGACCCGTACATTCATTATATTTTTTAACATCTTAATTAAATCGATTTCATATTTATTGCTGAGTTAACAAGTGCTTTTAATTAATTTTTATTTTATTTTGACGCTTTAAAAAATGGCTCGAAAATAAAAAAGATCACCACAGCATGAAAGGCGAAATTAACATAGGGAAAGACGCGATAGCCTCCCTTTCATTGTGTTCGTCATTTGAACAGAGGGTGTGTTCAACTAGATGATCGGCCTTTGTTCAGCTGGTGATTGTTTTACCCTGGCTTTATCTGTTCATGTTGTAATACAATTAAATCCCGTATGTTAACAGCTGTTATGTCATTTTTTTTAAATATACTCGCAAACGGTAAAATAAATCTCTATCTGATTTTGTTTGGAAAAGAAGAGATGTTTAGGCGTTGTGCTGACTGCATTACCACTTTATCAATATGCCGATGTCACATAAACTGGTGAACTCAACTTCATCTGCTCTATAACCCCCAGGTTCGAAATGGTAACTACTATTCATCCTAATGTTTCATTTTAATTAGTTTGTACCGTAGATTTATGCCTTAAAATAAGTATAGCTGAAAGCAGTGGCGTCGCTAGGTCGGGTGTCACCCGGTGCGGCACTTCGTGGTGTCAACCTTCCCCCCCCCCCCCAAGAAACACAGTATATATATATATATATATATATATATATATATATATATATATATATATATATATATATATATATATATATATATATATATATATATTATATATATATATATATATATATATATATATATATATATATATATATATATATATATCAACTTTAATCACTGCAGACTTAATAGTAACGATGTTTATCTGTAGTCTGCCAATAATACAGTTGGATATAGAACTGATAGAACTGTTTTTTCTATAGTTAACACGTTGTAATAATTGTAGATGTGTATTTAAAAGACTATTTCACTTTAATTGATCATTAATGGAGCTGGAAAAAAGCATTTTTCTTTTGTACATTTTGCGATTTATTTTGCCTTGGTGTCAGCCCCCCCCCCCAAATGGTATCACCCGGTGCGGTCCGCACCCCCCGCCCCGCCCTCGCTACGCCTCTCGCTGAAAGACGTTATTGTTTTGTTTACGTAAACCTTACAAAGCAAATAACGAAGCGCAAGATGTATCGACTGAATTGATTTTATAAAATAAATAAAATACCTAATGTTTTCATTGCACTTTCGAAATATGCACTAAAAAGTAAATGCGTTTCTCTATTCTAAGACTTTCCCACTCCACGCCATCTTCCCCCCCCCCTCCAAGCAACAATGCCGGTTGAGTTGTGCTTACCCCCCCCCCCCCCCCGCGCACCCCCCCTCCCCTTTCCTGTCAATACTCAAACCCCGCACATTGAGCTAAGAGTGAGTACTCACGTTGTGAACCCTCTCTATGACAGTAGAGTTGCTGAGTATGAAGCTTGAGTTGTTCATCGTGTCTCGTCTCACCAATAGCTCACATCAAGGGACTCAACTCTGTCAAAGAAAAACAAAATAACAACCATTAAAATCATAAAACAATCCAAAATACAGACTTGAATTAACTATTACCATAATGTGGTACATTGCATAGGCAGAGGTATTTTTAGTGAAGACAGAAACATTTACTACGCAAGAATAGTATAAAAGCCTTATTCTAGAACAACCGAACAACGACTGAATAATGAAACTTAATTGATAAACAAAATCATGGTCATGTCGATGCAATGGTGTTTGAATCCCAACTGTAGTTGTGTAATAATATAAAAAAAAAAAAAAAAAAAAAAAAAAAATAATATAAAAAAAATAAATAAATGTAACAGTAATTGGCCAGTTGCACTTAACGAATATAACACGTGGCCGAATTTCCCATCGGAAACAACTTAATGCACTTTCGGAAACACTTAATTAACAAAATGTGCATGCCTAAATTAAATAATGATACATTCACTTGATGAAACAAGTTATGGAACTACTTGTGTGAATTGCTGATTGACTAAGTGTATATGACTAAATTAGTCACCAACTCCCAATTGTGTGAACTGCTGACTGACCAAGTGCACATGACTAATTTAGTCATTGACTGACACCTATGTGAACTTACTAAGTTTACATGACTAAATTAGTCACTGACTGCCACTTATATGAACTGACGGACCAAGTGTACATGACTACATTAGTCACTGACAGTAATTTTTTAAAGTACTGACTGATCAAGAGAGCATGACTAAATTAGTAATTGACCTGAGTAATTAATAAACCTTCATACATGTCTACCGGCTCAAAATAAATATACACGGAGATTAACTACTCGAAATAAATAATAGGACAAACATAACGTGCACAAAATTCAACTTCTTCGTATAAAATGCTAGCTATTATGTTTATTTAAGGTTTCGATATACAAAATAAACAGCTGATTATTTTTCGTGACGTTCGTGATAATACAATATTAAAGCTTTATGTATCGATTCAACTTACATCAAACCTAGACAAAAGACTAATTTTTTTTTCCAGAAAAATCGTGTAATTTTCCACATACTTAGTCATTGTCTAGCGAGTTTGTCGTTAAAACAAAACAAATAATAAATGAGTGTACTTTAGGTCGTTTATGTAAGAACGGTAATCCAGTAACGAATAATTCAGCACGAGTTATATGATACACCACAGCCTTATAGGACGAGACAGGTCTTGATGGTGAAGCAGAATTCGACACAAAACAAAAAGAAGATTATTGGAAAATTGCATCAACGAGGTACACGAACTAAGCCCCAGATCCATTTATGGGTGTCTTGGTGGGTTACATTTATATTTATAGTCGAGTCGATGCGGACGGACGGACATACAATACCAGGGTGGTATCGTTTTAAGTGAATCAGATATGGATCTCAGAGAAACCGATTAGCTTTTATTTTATGGATTTATTTTTCCGGAGTTACACCTAGTTTTTATGGGCTATAGGTAACGAAACGGGCCAAATCACTCATAAGGAATATTGTTATGGTCGTTATGAAATGTGAAATTATGGACGTTGTTGGGGGTCCTAGATGTTTTATGATGGCGTTGGTGTTGAGTTATTGGAGGTTGTGGGTGGGTTGAGTTGTATATTATGGGGAGCGGGTTAGTAGAGTAGTTTTATCTTTAATGAGAAGCTTCATCGATGACTTGTTATGATCAGTGTTTTTCTTTATGATAAGTGGGGCGATTAACGTTTTTAAGCTGGCCGTAGCTTTATACTTAGCAAAACAAAACTAGATTTGAAACCTAAGTAGTACTTTCAAACTAGATCAGTAGTTTATAATCTTTTACAAATTGTTATTTAGGTCATTATGTCCGGAGTTTTGGGTGCACAGTTTTGTGAAAAAAAACTATAAATTATTGCCCTTTTCAAATGCAGCTATTTATTTAAGGCTTTCCATATTCATTTCCCATGACAATTCGAGATGTTCTAATTAAAAAATAATTAGATATTTAATTAGTCATACGATTTTATTAAAATTTTAAAGTAGTAAAAAGGAGAAAACCTTATAATAAAAAGCTTTAATTAAGCATGGGTTTAAATGCACTAAAATAGAAACATAAAGAACTATTTGATACAATTTGACAAGAAATAATTCGGGAGTTCGCTCCACTAAACATTTTTATATCCATGTAGACCACTGGGTAGTATTTCCAATTGAATCGCTCTCACGTAAAAGTAAGTAGGTTAGTTCAAACATAATGAAGTGAAACGATCCTACCAGTTACTGCTTCAAGACAATATGATATGAGCTTATCAAGTTTTGAAGGCATTTTGACAAACTGGAAAAAAGTAAAGTACCACCATTTTTACCGGATAGATAGAATCTTATACTTAAATATAAAATTATGTTTCCGAAACATATTACAAAGCTGTTTCCTAATTCAGAATTGTGGAAATGTAAGGTTTTTTCAAAGGTCTTATCTCGATAATAAACTCCAATTACGAGAAATACAAGTAAAACCCTAGACGCTAAAGAAAAGCATGTAAAAATTTCGGGTGCGACCAAGCTATAAATTTAACAGCTAAAGTTTTCTAAAATTCACGTTTATTTTCTTAATTGTATTACTTTTTTTACGAGTTTAATTATTAAGGTGAATATGATTGTTTTATTTAACTTTGTGTTTCTCTCAAAAGTGGAGTTATAATTGCTTTTGAATAAAAAGAAGGAGGTTGCATTTTCTTTAAATCTCAGTTAGTTATAAAACATAATTCAAACTGCCACTTTTTTTCAAGTGGATATAATGGTTGTTTTGTACAGATATAAGGTAAAATTCAGAATGAAAGGAAATGAACTTAAGGTTGTTTTTTTTTAATCACGATAGTGAAATTACAGTTATACTGAAGTAGCATGGTGATTATAGTGGAGTGAAATTGGTGGATTTAACTAAAGCTCTTATACAATGGCTTCATCATCAAATTACGTGTTTATTTTTGGAGGTGAATTGATGGATTAGTGTGGATTTAATGAAATCTGTGTCAAATTACGCTGATGATATTTGAAAACAAACACCGAAATAATTTGTATTGTTACACCAAGCACTACAAAGATCGCAACACTTACGTTGAACGGATGCACATTCTCAAGTAGCGAACACCACATGACAATTAAGCCGCGGTTTGTTCTGCGTGTAGTAGCAAAACGTGGCGTCATTACCTGGAATTATGCGCGCTGAGGTTAATATCCGGTGAGCAATAACAAAGAGGGGGGGGGGGTGAGTAGAAGCAGACGACACTTGTAGATGTATTGTTAGGAGGAAATGTTAAGCGGGTTTTGTACCTGGCATTTTAATGCCGCCACGTGTAGGTGAGTGTAGGATTATCCACGCGAGGTCAAGGTCAGGCTGACCCGGAGATGACGTGAACCGGTGTAAGAATCGTAATTGTGTAATTAGGTAATAGCTTACAGAGCTACAGGTGCACAAGAGGTGTGCACTTACAGGTGAGCGAGCGGTTGTCTTGTTATGGTTGGGGACAAAAGGTAATGCATTGTTTAGAATAGGTTAAAGACTGCCGGGGAGGGGGGTGTCAGGGGTAACGGTGGTGAAGGTAAGGGGGGGGGTGATAGATTAGGGTTAAGGCGCCCAAATGAAAATGTTTAATAGTCTCTTGTTCATCTGGTTATGCTATTTTATCTGTCCGACAGTTTGTCTGCTAATTTATCTGTCTTTTTGTATGCTACTAATTGGTCTGTTATTCTGTCGGTCTGTTTCTTTGTCTGCTATCTTTGTGTATTCTGTTATATCGGTCTCTCTGTCTACTATTGTGTAGGTATTTTTGTTTGCTAATACAGGTGTATGTTTATCTGCTATTCAATCTGTCTGTCTGTTTGTCTGCTAATAAGTGTATAGGTCTGTCTATTAGTTAATGTTTGTTTGTTTATCTGCTTTTCTATATGTCTGTATGCCGGTCTGTCTACTAGTTTGCTATTCTATCAGTCTGTCTACTTGTCTACTATTCTGTCAGTCTATCTGTCTGTTACTATAGTTCTTGTTGGTCTGTTCTAGTTTAGTTGAATGACCTTTACTGTTAAAATCGATTATTTGATACTGCTGTTTAAAACTGAATCTGACCGTGATTAGAGTCTAAGTATCGATTATCTAATCAATACTGGTTATCGATTTTAACTGAATGACCCTAGAATTGAAATTCATATTTTTGTGATGTTTTTTTTTTTTAAACAGAAACTAATTACAATATTTCGGCCATTAAACTCAATGTAATGGATCGAATATTCTAAGTACTCATTGTTGTCGGGTTTGTTTACTAGTAGAGCGGAGTATGTTGTTCAGTGCTATTCAGTACGCAGCCATCATTGGTGCGAATGGCAAGATCGATTTGAATATGTAAATTTTAAAAGAAGATCGAAGAATAACACAACTACGGTCGCGTATTGTGGCATGAATTTTAAAATGTCATTCTCAATGGCAACATGGTGAGGTAGAAATAACTTTACAGTAAGGAAGAAAAGATCAGTATAACGAGGTAGAGAATAACAGTATAGTGAGGTAGGAAATGACAGTACAGTGATATAAAAATAACAGTATAGTAAGGTAGAAAATACATTATTGTGAGGTGACAAAAACAGTATAGTGAGGTAAAAAAATATAGTAGGTTAGCGAACAATAGTATAGTGAAGTAGCAATTACAATATAGTAAGGTAGCAAAATGGTATAGTGAAATAGCAATTACAGTATAGCAAGGTAGCAAAATGGTATAGTGAAATATCAATTACAGTATAGCAAGGTAGCAAAATCGTATAGTGAAGTAGCAATTACAGTGTAGTAAGGTAACAAAATCGTATAGTGAAGTAGCAATTACAGTGTAGTAAGGTAACAAAATCGTATAGTGAAGTAGCAATTACAGTGTAGTAAGGTAACAAAATCGTATAGTGAAGTAGCAATTACAGTGTAGTAAGGTAACAAAATCGTATAGTGAAGTAGCAATTACAGTGTAGTAAGGTAACAAAATCGTATAG